GGCAGAAAGTGGAGAGGACCTAAAGAGCCTCTTGCTCAGAGTGAAAGAGGAGAGCACAAAAGTCGGCTTGAAGCTTAACATCAAAAAAACTAAGATCACGGCATCCGGCCCCATCACTCCTTGGCAAATAGAAGGGGAAGTCGTGGAAGTAGTGACAGACTTCACATTCCTGGGATCCCAGATCACCGCAGACTATTCTCAGGGTAAAAGAGGAGAGCGCAAAAGTGGGCTTGAAGCTTAACATCAAAAAAACTAAGATCACGGCATCCGGCCCCATCACTCCTTGGCAAATAGAAGGGGAAGTCGTGGAAGTAGTGACAGACTTCACATTCCTGGGATCCCAGATCACCGCAGACTGTGACAGCAGCCACGAAATTAAAAGACGCCTGCTCCTTGGGAGGAAAGCGATGGCGAACCTAAACAGCATGATAAAAAGTAGAGACATCACGCTGCCAACAAAAGTTGGCATGGTCAAAGCAATGGTATTCCCAGTAGTCATGTATGGCTGCGAGAGTTGGACTATAAGGAAGGCCGAGCACCGAAGAATAGATTCTTTTGAACTATGGTGCTGGAGAAGACTCTTGAGAGTCCCTTGGACTGCAAGAAGATCAAATCAGTCAATCCTAAAAGAAATCAACCCTGACTGTTTCCTGGAAGGCCAGATAATGAAACTGAAGCTCAAATACTTTGGCCACCAAATGAGAAGGGAGCACTCATTGGAGAAGACCCTGATGCTGGGAAAGATTGAAGGTCAAAGAAGACGGGGACGGCAAAGGATGAGATGGTTAGACAGTGTCATCGATGCAACGAACATGAAATTGAGCCAACTTCAGAGGACGGCGGAAGACAGGAGGGCCTGGCGTGATCTGGTCCATGGGGTCGCGAAGAGTCGGACTCGACTGTGCGACTGAACAACAACAAAAATCCCAACAATTGTCTAGCCACTTCCCCCTTACCCATTTACCCTAATTTAGCAATACTTAACCCTGGTAGCTTTTCCCATCTGGTAATCATCAGGTCATCAAACGCCATTTACACCTTTGGTACACCTCAGGAAATCCCATAAAATTTCTCCCATATCTCAGAATCATTTTGCATATAACTGTAGCACTCTGCTCCGTAGCAATCTGTGTGTGTGTTCTGGGGCCCATACTTGCTGTGGGTTTTCTCCTTTTCTCCATGAAATGCTGGTTGTTTCGTTTCTGCCTCCATGGACTTCACTCTTTAAGACTGGTAACTACTGCCTACTGAAAACTGCTTTCCCCCCCTCCTCCCTAATTTCCTCTTAGCTAGCTTGTTTCACCCTTTTATTTCTCTTTTAATAAAAAACTTTCTGGTGGAACATCTGCCTGGTTTATTTTGAGAGTTCTCTTAAGGGAAAAATCCCCGTAAACATTGGTGGAGAATCCCAGTTACCCCCTCTCCCTCAGTCTCCTTAAAGCTAATTCCCCCAACTAAATAGGAGACTGCTTCTTTGGGTGGCAGCTTATGGAACAACTCACATTACAAACCAAAAGCTCTGAAATGAATGACCACCCAGCAACCTCTTACTACTTGTTTTTACACAGGAGTTGGGAGACTGATGTAAGCTGAGTAGGGCGGCGGAGGGGGGGGGGGAGTCCGGAATCTGCAGGGTACATTAGAAGGGAAAACCTACCCCCCCCCCTTACTTAAGATATAACATAGCAATCAAACAGAGTTAATGTCCTGCTTCTAAAATGGAGAAAAAATAAAGGTTACGATTTCATGAGGCTAGTCTCAGCAGTTCTGAGTCTTTAGAAGACACCTTGAGGAAATGACACCGCTTAGCAGAAGAGCCTGCTGATAATTAAATAACAAGCTCTCTTTCAAATTGGTTAATGAAATACTTACCTGAAGGTAGCTTGCCAGAAGATTATTAGCAGTTTTGTATGCTAATTTAAAGATGGAACCTTCTCCACAATATAGTTTTAATGAAGGTGGTGCTTTATGCAAACGTAAGTGCCTGCCTATATTGTAACCACATTTAGCTAATGTCATTTGCAGCTTATGAGCAAGTGATGTGCATGACCTGAACTCGCGTTAATTGCCATGAAATCATATAAACTCTCAAATGATTAATCACAGACGCTTGATTGACAAGCGTAGAAATGTACTGTGGAACATGCACAGTAACAGAGCAGGTTTCAGAACATTGAGCTTTTCAACACACCATCTTCTTCAGCTGTGTCCAAGGGCTTTGACTTCAGCGAGAAGATCTTTCGCAGCTTACAGTTAGCCGAGACAATAATGCCATCCAAGGACTGAAAAACAGCTCCTTTGAATATCTCACTGGTGAACTCTACCAGGTCAATGCATAGATTGCACCACTAAGAAAAAAAACACAAAATAGGATTAGTGATACCTTTGCACAGGCTGCTGAACTTTCAGAAGAGGCCATTCACCCAGTTTCTCATTAAACACAGTTATAGTACAATCCTTATAGCTGCCATTAGGAGTATATGCTGACAACACACAAACACAGTGTGTACTGGAGCAATATTTCTAGTCTAATTGAAACTCCTTTGGTTTTCACTGAATTTGAAAAGACCCAAACATTTGTTAGTAGTTATCATAAAATCCCGCTAGATCGAATGCTCTTCCCCAAAGCCCACAGCTGGAATGTGACTGGAGCAGAACCCAGCTCAATACAAATCCCAGGGGACTGCCTTGAAATGGTTTTCCTCCTTTCTCCATGGTCGAGGACAGAGGGTGGTGCTGGGTGAGAGGGTCTCCCCGCGGTACCCGCTAGAATGTGGAGTGCTGCAGGGGGCGATCCTCTCACCAATGTTATTTAACATCTATATGCGCCCCTTCACACAGTTAGTCCAGAGTTATGGGCTGGGTTGCCATTAGTATGCTGATGACACTCAGCTTTATCTGTTAATGGACTGCCACCCGTCCTCCGTTCCTGGAAATCTGGCTGAGGCTCTGGACGCTGTGGCTGGATGGTTGCGGCAGAGTCGACTGAAGTTAAATCCATCAAAGACGGAGGTCCTGTACCTGGGTCGTGGGGGTTTGGAAGTGGGCACCAGGCTTCTCACACTGGAAGAGACACCTCTGGTGCCGGCCCAGTCAATGAAGAGTCTGGGAGTAACACTGGATACCTCCTTATCTATGGAGGCCAGGTTGCTGCAGTCATCAGATCTGCATTTTTCCATCTTAGGCAGATCAGGCTACTGAAGCCCTCTCTCTCCCCCTAGGACTTAGCTACAGTGACCCATGCAATGGTCACTTCCAGGCTTGATTACTGCAACTCGCTCTATGCAGGCTTACCCTTGAAGCTGATCCGAAAATTACAGCTGGTGCAAAATGCGGCGGCACTCCTGCTGACATAGACACCTGTGCAACCTCACATTTGGCATGTGCTCTGTCAGCTGCATACTGTCAGTTGCATCTGCCTCAAGGTGTTGGTAATTACCTTCAAAGCCTTATATGGCTGGGACCAACATACCTAAGGGACTGCCTCTTCCCATATATGCCTCAGAGAGCATTACACTCTGAGAGTCAACATCTCCTGGTGATCCCTGGCCCAAAGGATGTCCACCTAGCCTTGACCAGGGCCAGGGCTTTTTCTGCCCTGGCCCCCACCTGGTGGAACATGCTCCCTATTGAGATCAGGGCCCTGCGGGATCTTACTCAATTCCACAGGGCCTGCAAGGTGGAGCTGCTCCACCAGGACTTTGGCTGAGGCAGCGGGCATCCACATATGCCCCCCCCCCCCCAGGTTGCGGTCTCCCACCTACTAATAACCAGCCATACCAAGTTACATCAATGGGCTGGATTCTCCCTACAGCAAGCATGACTATTGATTTATGTTTTAATGTGTTTTAAATTTTATTGTATTTATTAAAATGCTGTGACCCACCCTGAGCCCGTTAACGGGATGGGCGGGATATAAATGTGATAAATAAATAAATAAATAAATAGATCTTCCGCCTTAAATTTGCGCACATGTACATGCGCATACACATGCATACACACCTATTCAGTGCCTGCAAGAGACCAGAGACACCAGATTTCTTTTCTTTTCTTTTGTCCTATGGGCACACAGTACTGTGAAACACACAGTGTAAAGGCACATTCAATTATTTACTAAGGTGCTTCATGTCTGCCAAGCATAGACACTTAAGGGGGGATATTTGGGGGCCTGTGAACATACATTTCTGCAGTTCAGAGATCATTTGAAAAACTCACTGAGGTTTTCAGTACGATTCTCAAATATGCTATAGATAGATCTGCTAATGTGAAATATTTTTAATATCTTATTGGGAAGACACATACACCGATTTTGTAATAATATACTAAAAATGCATCCGATTAGAGAATCCAGCTGCATGACATTAGAAACTCCTTATTGAAGATCTTTGTGCATTCCTCCAATGGTCCTTGAGTCACTGAAACACATATCAATGGACTTAAATCACAGTGGAACCCAAGGAGTGCCCATGGAATGGAGCAAAAGTGGGACGGAATGGAAAAATCCACTCATCCGTAATATCCCTTTGGAATTTCACTTCAGGCAAACTCTAGCTGCCACCAACTTTAAAAGGTCTAGCACCCTGGGTAAAACAACTGTACTAGGAATGGCTACCTATACTCACAAATACGGTACAAATCTATCAGCATTCTGGGAAGAAAATGACCTAGATTAGGCCTGTCAGCCTTGTGGCACATTAGCCAAGTAGTGTGCTTGATAAAGGCTCCTGTATTTGCGCCCCAAGCAAGCAGCAAAAAATAGGTGCTTATCAAGCTAGTCACAGTACATGGCTGGTGGGTTGCAGGCAATCTGGGAGCTGCAGTCTTGACAGGTCTGCCACAGGTGATATAAAAGACAAGGCCATAAAAAAGTGCAAGTATAGTTCAATACTGCCAGGCACTGGTTGGAATAATTCAGGGCATTTTCTAATAGAGACGTATAGGGAGAGGAACAACTGAGTATCACAATTGTGCAGAGGTTTTGCCCTGATACTGCTTCAGCATGTACAAGTTTATCTTCTATAGGGAAAAACATGTTTTGCTGGACAGCAGACTCAATGAAACAAACCATACAAGTGGTCTGTAACTGCCCTAGCCTAAACTTTTGACAACTATTTCATATTTAAAAATCAATAGTTCTCACTTTCAACCTAATTGGCTTCAGTTCCTGGGGTACGATGATTAATCATAAACTAGCAAAAGGTCATGGGCATCACGGCCTGCATTCCTCCCTTCTTTTATTTTTTCCTCCTGTGTCTGAACCTTCTGCTTATTCTCCACTCCCCCCTGAAGCCCTCAGCTAATCTACTGTAACTCACAGTGAACCTATATAAGCAAGGGAATCATTGCCCCTCAGGCTACCATTAGCTTAGCTCCTCTGAAGCCTTTGTCCAGGCAGCTTAGAGTATCATTTATTTTTAAATGTATATGCTTCCTCTCCACTCATCAGGCTCCCGAGACAGTGAATAACATTATAGAAATGAATACTTATTTAAAATAATCAAGATTAACCAATTATCAAAATAAAACAATTAAAAATGAAAATATAATTTTATGCCTTAGAACCTGCATTCTGAGATATACAAGAGTCTTATATGAAATTAAAGCCAGTGATTACAAGGGTACACAACAGATTTTTAGATGGCATCTGAGCATACTATGGTGTTTTCCATTTTATAGACACAGGGAATACTTATGCTTGTTAAGTATACTGAGGCCAAGAGTACAGAGGTACAAAATACAACACACACACACAGAGGCAGTGGTTGGGAAGGCTGGTCTACCTCCATGTGTTGAGTAATGTCCACCAATAAAGGCACTGTATTCGGGATGTACATTTGGCTCAGAAAGCCGAATCAGATTCCCTAATCTGATTCGGCTGACAGAACAGGGATTCCCCGAATGGATGCCGAATATATGGCATCCATTCGGGGAATCCCTTTGCTGGGCGAGGAAGGGGAAGTGTTTAAACGTAAAACACTTTCCCTTGCTTCTGGGGCTCTTGCCAACTCAGCAGAGTGACTCCTCAGCCAAGAGAAAATATTTGAACTTTAAATAAAGGTATTTAAACTTTAAATACCTTCCTTGCTGGGGAGTCACGCCACGAAGACAGCACAAGCCCCAGAAGCGAGGGAGTGTTTTAAATTTAAACACTTTCCCTTCTTATGGCTTCTGCTGACAGGCAGGAAAAAGCATGGGGAGGCATTTAAATGCCTCCCCGCTCCTTCCAGGCCTTCCCTGGCTCGCCCGCCTTGGCGGGCAGACCAGGAAAAGTGGGGGGGCTTACTCTAGGCCTTCCCTGGCTCAACTGCTTCGGTGGGTGGGCAGGGGAAGGCACGGAGAAGAATTTAAATGCCTCCCCGCTCCTTCTAGGGCCTTTCGCGGCTCGCCCGCCTCAGCAGGCGGACCGGGGGGGGCAACTCCAGGCTCTTCCCTGCTTGGCCACTTCGGCAGGTGGGCCAGGGAAGGCACGGGGAGGCATTTAAAGGGAAGGCGGGGGGGGCTAGCTCGGGGGGCAGTGGGCTCTTATCACTGAAGGGAAGGCAAATTGCCTTCAATGAAAGGAGTGTGCTGCCTCTGCAGCGTGACTCCGGGGGAGATTTAAACTTTAAAGTTTAAACCTCTCTGGAGTAGTGCCACAGAGGCAGCATGCTCCCTTCATTGAAGGGAAGGCAATTTGCCTTCCTTTTAGTGATAGGAAACCCCCCCTTGAAGGGGGGAATTATTATACCCTAGGGGGACAGTCCCCATAGGGTATAATTAGGCTGAATAAATTTGGCTAGTCCAATAATTCCCGAACCTCAGTATCATACCGATACTGGTATTTGGGAATATTGGCAAATACCGATTTTTTTTGGGTTCAGTGGATCCAAACCCAAAGAATTCCAATTTTTTTTGGGTGCACACCCCTAAAAGGTATTATGGTCAGCCAAGTCATGGCAGCTTGTCAAAGGTTGTAGCTCCTTGGGATACTGACGTAACAACCTCAACACTTTCATGAAACCTGGAAGTCTGTTTATTTATTTTATTAGATTTCTATCCCGCCCTCCCCATGAACAGGCTGAGTTATGCGGGACTTCAAGCAGCTTGATCAGACATGTGTACCTTACTATAATAATAGCTGAAGGTGGATTGGAAGTGTTCAAGGATTACAATGCTCTTGACTCTTGGCTTCACTAAGGAGAACAGGAGCAAAGAGGAGAAAGAATTGGATGGCTTGTAAAACTCCTTCCCTTCCAGTCCTGAAACCAGAAGAAAGCTGGCAGGCAGCAATGGCTTGTGCCCAGAGATAGACAAAAAGGGAAGAGGTCCTCAGCATAAGGAAAAGATAGTTGAGTTATCTGTGTAATAT